TGCTTCTTTATTCTTAAAGGAGACGACGGCCATGCTTTGTATTGAATAAAGACGATCAGGAGCGACGTATGTACTTACTTTCTGTTTCAAGTGTTGTAATCTTGGAGTGACTCACACTAATTCCAGGTTTTCATTCATTCTATAGAATGAACACGAAACGAAGTTATTAGGGTCCGCTCTATGACAAAAAAGTGACTATTAGAGCAAGTGACTTTAACTTGAGGATTCACGAAATGTCACGTCTAACACTTTTCTTTGCACATAGGTACACCTCTCGCAAAGGAGAGAGTGCAAGACTTCGGATTATGGCATTTTCAGTCACTACCCAAAGAAAATTGCTGCAACCTTTGTATGATGATTCGTCATCCATAATATAAACACAATTTGCATATTGAAAATATTGTTCCGGTTGTCACGTCCGACACCGTGGAGAGACCCGTATCTACTTGTAGAGAAACGGCGAGAAAACAATTAATCAACACATTCACAGCAAAATGAACGCAACGTAAATTAACGGGCCATCGAAATGTGGCCACCGAATGCTTCAAGAAGCTAAGCTTTCCACGTATGTGTTCTAACGTTCATTTATTACGGATTTCTGCGAAACAATTTTTACCCTTGCTTAGGCAAAAAGAGACACTATACTTTTCGCAACTAAGGAAATGTAGGCCTTTGCCGCCAGGCATATTCCTCCTTTGGCGGTAGTCCCATTTGGGACGATGGCCTACTTCGTGAAGGTGTACGCCTCTCGTAGGCACGTGGACTCCTGGATTGGGCGACAATTGCGACACCGTTTTTTTTTCACAAGCCGGGAAAAGAAAAACCTCTGACAAACTGATTTGGAGAGGGGGGAAACGGTGCCGCATTTGACGCAGACATGCCTGGAGAGGAGGGGGAGGGGGGGAGGAAAGGAAGGAGGATTCCAGAAGTATGGAGTCATCGCCAGACAAGAAGAAAAGTACATATTTGAGGTTCTTGAGAGGGGTTGCTCACTGGGGACTTGCAGAGGATCTCACATTTGGGCCAAAGGAGGTAAGGTGTAATTTCCAGCATTTATGCTCCAAATTGTGTTCCCTGGAATTACGGTGCACGGGTACAAGTTTCATTTTGGACAAGCTTTGTTTCGAAAGATTTCGGGTCTGAGGCTATCAAAAGCATATGGAAATCCAAGGTCTTTGCTGAACGATCATTTCCGCGGAGTTTTCACCTTGTGTCACTTGCCAATTGGTCTAATGGATGATGCGTGGCTTTACATGGCCGCAAAGTCATGCGAGGAAGAGTGCCTTCGCGTGACACTGTTCAATGATTATTTCATCGGCACCTGCTTTGCAGATAATGCAAGATTTCCAAGGGAGCTGTGATGTTGTAGTGGGGAATGTCAGCTAACGAACAATGGTGTAGAAAGCTGGCACAATCGTCTATCCAATCTGATAGACAAGAGGGCTAATCTGGATTTGGTGAACTTGTGGAAATTCTGGGGCGGGAAGAGCTAGCGGTTAGGGTGAAGATATCCCAGTACCAGGCAGGACTAATAAAAATCAAAGATAGAAAGAGCGTGGAGAACGAGATGATATTGTCTGACGCTTTAGAGAAGTTAGAGGTTCAAAATGTCAGGGAATACTTGGAGAAAGTTATAGAGATAATGTACCATTATATCACCTTTGAATTTGCCGGGGATGCCTATGCCCAGTCCCAGCTGTTGTGAATGACTTTCGTGTTTTGGGTGGGATCTTTCAGAGAATAAATGCCATTGCTCTAGTGATATAAGTGGGGCTTGAATGCATATTGGAAGTGTGAGAGAGAATGGAGAGAATGAGTTTACTTCTGGAATCCCCCTTCCCCCTCCCCTCTCCCCTTCCCCCTCCCCTCCAGGCATGTCTGCTTCAAATGCGACACCGTTTCCCCTCTCTCCAAATCAGGTTGTCAGAGGTTTTTCTTTTCTCGGCTTGGGAAAAAAAAACTTTGTCGCAATTGTCGCCCAATCGGGCCACTGGTTCTCCCTTCATCTTTGCACGCAGTCCTTTTCCAACTTCATTGCGGTGGCATACTCTTGAAACTCTGACACTCATTGTACATATATCCAACGACGTGTGCCCGAAACGTAGCGAAGTACATAATCTTCTCCTCGCACTCTTTTGAACAGCAACCATGCATTATCCAACGTCATGTCAAGGAGAAGGTAAAGGAGATGAAAATACCATTTCTTCGAACGCATTCTGTTTTTGTAGCACCCCAGTAGAATTTCGAGCTGGTCCAATTCGCCCAAGTTTATTGTGCTAAATGGCAATATTAGGGAATTCTAAGTCGACCTTCTCTTTCTTCACTCCGTCAAATCTTTTCGCAGTCTTATTGAGTTGCTCCCCGACAAAAGCCAACATGAGATCTACCTGACGGTTGTCCTTCCTAGAAACGATGGAACCATCGTCTCCTTCAAATGTCGTCGCATACTCCTTCGAAAATCCTATGGGCTTTTTCTTGACTTTCTCTTCCGATGGTAGTTTGCATATGTAGCTATATTTATGCAGCTATATGTAACTTAGCTCAATCAAGGTAATGAAGTTGCAAACCCAATTTCCATTGCTGTCATGGAACTCTGCATTCATCGTCTGACACAGTCTCAAAAGAAAATATTTTTATCTTTTGCAGAAGACGGGATAAGCAGACGTGGAGTCCAGAAAATAAAGAAAACGAGAGCGGTATATTCCAATAATTTTTTTTCCGTCTGGAAATGAATTCCCCGAGGGGGAATGCCGCGACACCACGCAGCAGATTCCCCTTTGATAGGGAAGGAGGGCAGGTCAGAGGAAAGGTGACAGTCAAGGCCATGCACGCGGACGGGACGGGGGAGGAGGAGGCCCCACTGCCTTTCATTCTTGCGTTGTCTTCCGTTTGTTGAAGGAGCTTGTAACCGCTACTCCTCCTCGCCAGCCTATTGACGGTAAGAATTACGTTCTTCCCAGCTGCATTACGTAGATACTTCTCTGCCATAATAACCCGTCCACCTTTCGTTCTTACAATGCGTAGTTGATCAAGGAAAAGGACAAAGGAATGCCATATACAGTTGATTTCAGTTGTTCCATGCGAAAACCATTTGCACTGTTCGAATCGATTTTGCGGCTTAACCTGGTCCAGGTCCAGCGACGTCCGTGCTGGAATTCCCTCTAATTTCTTGATATGGGTGGGACTAAAATCATTCGGGTTGCCCAGGAAATAATTGGAATGCCTAGGTTCCCCTTCTATCTATAGAATGAGCACGCGAGCGCTGTTTAAAAAATATATGAATTACGGTTTCCTTTGGTGAGAATATAATTTTCGTGGAATCGGCCTTTTTTTTGCAAGGTGTTATGCAGAAATCTTCCCATTTACAGTTATGTCGTCCAATTCATAATTAATCATAGGCGGAATGCGAAAGGCTCAATTATGTGCATTCATTTGTGAGAGGCCATAACATATTGTTACGGTACGACTTTTTCGTGTCGTAGTCCGTCGTGGGGTCCGGGTGGAAATAAGGTCACAAGGAGATACGGTGACAACAAAACAGGTGTTTTTATTCTTTTTCTCAACTCATCCAGTATTAAAACCAATTCTTCTGCTGGGTCCGAAGGCGCTGAGGGATCTTGGTGTCCGGGGGCCGGCGTCGCTCGGGTTCTTCCTATCGGAGGGTCCCACTCCACTGTCGTGGATGATCCTAAGCTCTCCACACGAACTGCGGTAGAGAGGGGGGGATACGCGGTTACGTCCCACGGAGGATGGCTGCTATTCTCTCCCGGGCTGCGGTCTAGCCGGGCCGTCGCAGAGGATGTTTCGACCGTACTCGGCAGGGCTTAGGTCGAGCCTGCTTTCGGGCCACTACGGGTCGGCACCGTTCAGGGCTTAGGTCGAGCCTGACTTGATGCGAGGAACCTTACTTCACAGGGCTTAGGTCGAGCCTGCTTTCGGGTCCAGGATCTCAGCGGGAGGGAGCTATTCAGGGCTTAGGTCGAGCCTGACTTTTGCTGCCTCGCTGAGGGTTCCCTTTTCCGACTCGCTTTCCCGGGAGTCCTTCCTGGGACCGGCTTGCGAACGGCCGTGATGCGGCCGTTCGTTCTTGTTGGTGACTCCTCAGCATGTTGGGTTGGAAGGCATGCCGTACTTTCTTTCTTTTTACAATATAGCTCTAAAAATACCTATTACATCGGGACCAGCGCATATGTTTTAATCTACTACATATCCTGAATGGCTAACACCGGGGCTCACTAGTGACACCTAGTGGCGGAGACTGTAAACAGTCAGGGGTCAATCATCCCACGCGGGGTCGCATATTTGCTATTCTCTTACCGTGACAATATGAAAGGGCTCGGTCGGTATCGCCACGTCTCATGAAGTTCGATCTGCCTCGTATGTATTCGGACATGGGGATGTCGCACGGCGTCTTTGGCATCATTTGAGCAAAGAATATTTCAAATTGAATTTCAGGAGAATCTTTTAATGCTACCTGCAATTGAACTGAAAAAAGCGGTAACGAGGACTTAAGGAATTCGTTTTCAGCGTTCCTTAGTTGAATGTCATCAGTTCATCAGGCGATTCTGATGAATTTAGAGGCATGTAGAGTTACTCAATTTGGGGTGCGTGGAATTTCTAATCAAATTTCAAAATACGGAGAATATTTCATATTCCTGGTTTCCTTAATGTCACCAGACGCAAGCATGCGCCCTACCTCGGCTTTGACTTCGGTTTTATTTTTAATTTTATTTTTCTTGTTCCAGCTGCTCCATCTCTAGCTGCTCCACAAACCGCTCCCCCCGCCTGTAACCCGCCTCCATGGACTCACCCAAGCAAGGACGACTGAGTGGACATGCACGGTGTCCGTCCTTGGGATGGGGCCGTGGTTCTCTGGAATCTGGATCAGCGACCCAGATCGACACCGGTGTCCCCACCCCACTCCCCTTCGAGACTGAGGGATTGCTTCAACACAGAGTACATTTGGCAAGAGATCACGTTATTTTTTCATCTATTCATGGATGAAGTTCTCTTGAATCAACCAAAGTAAATTCATCATTTCCATTCCAGGCGTTTGGTGGGTGAGAGGACCTTTTTGAAACGAGGTCCCTACTCCATCGTTTACCCGCCCAGCTTCTCCATGCATACCAGAAATCGTTGCCTAGTAGGTATCTCCCTGGAGGCACCCAGTTCAGGTTAATTGCTTTCTATTAATCACATGTTTGATGCTGATTATCCATCAATGAATTGTTAACTGAGTGATGACTATCTCCGTTTCACTTGTAAAACAAAATCTGTTATTAGTATATCCCTTTCAATGGATTTAAAGTAAATCAATCTGGCCTTAGAATCATGATAAAATATTAGTACTTTCAAGATCATAGAGACTGCATTTGTCCAGACTCGAGGATCCTTGAGTCAATTTCAAATCCGTTTTAGAAATGAATGGAGCAACAAGGCCAAAGCTGGTTCAAGAAGAGAATATGGGTTCATGTTTATGTAGGGACTTAAACCTTGACTGTGGTGTGAGTGGTGTCCAATTATTGCTGATGCCGCCACTTTTTCTGACCATTGTTCGCGCATGTCACTATCGCCACTCTCATTAATCCTTTACTAAGTATGCATTCCCTGCTTTATCTTGGAATTCAATTGGAACAAATTTCTTTCAAGTCTGATAACCATGTCGAATATTCAAGTTCGTGCGATAGGAAGTTCACATACGGTTTCACGCACATGCGTGCATTGTTTACACCAGCATTAATGTAGAAATGCTCATTTATATGTATACATTTTATGGCAAGAATCAACGTAATTTCTCCTGTCAGGGTTATATTTATTAAGATGTGAGAGGAAATGTAGGAATATAAATGTATTACCATAAGTTTTCTTTGATGCAGGGTATACTCCAGACACTTTCATGGAGTCCTGGTGAGGCCCACCGAACCAAGGAGAAACGGCTCATGTGGCCCGTCAACTCTCGCCCATAGCTAAATGGCGCTAGTTGGGACAGTGCAGAGCTCTGCGCTCTCAGGCTTGTTAGCATAGTCTGGAACTGGTTGCTTCAGAGTATTTCGAAATTGTTTCCACTCTTTGATTAGCTTACTGCCTCACTTTAACCCGTTTCGTTTGTTCAGCCTATATCGTCCTTAATTTTATTAAATTAAATTGGCGTCCATATATGTAAATGTACCAGTATTTAAATAATTCCAAGCAAAAGTCTTGTGATTAGAAGCCAAGAAAATGGAACCTAACCTCAATACATACAAATAAAGTAAGCTTGAACCGAGACCAATTTTTCTTCTAATTGCCTTAGACCTAACCTAACATGGCCTTGTCTACTCTAACCATCCTTAGCTAACGGGTTTTAGTTCTAACCCTTGGCCTTGATAACCACCCTAACCTCGTCTAACTCCATTAAAATCACATGACAAGGTCACGTTGGGGATTTAGATCTTTCATTGAAGGAATGAAAAGTTCAACAATTTTAATAGTATGATAAATGGTGCCTTTTCTGCAAGCACCGGTCCAAGATTGATGGCAACCATGGGAGAAAATTATGAATTCAAACGTTTTGTAAATTTTTTGTATATATTGAGGTGGTCTTGTTGAAGGTTGCAGAGTTTTATTTTTCTCAATTACTGTACAAGTCTTCCATCAAGTTGAATAATTGTTTTAGATTGATGCCTGGCAGGAACTATATCTGAACCTTAGAAGTCGATATTAGCAGTCGATCTCCAATTTCGCTCTTCAAACACTACTGGAATTTCATAAATTTGACATGATTTGATTTGGGAGGGGAGAACGAATTTTACTTTAAAATTGCATTCAGATTCATTGTTGGATTTTCGCTTCAATGAAGTGAGAGGGACAGGATTATAGTTTCATGGGTGTTCCTGAAGTTAGTCCCATAGTTGAAAAGTATTCCAGTTTCCACCCTTTCCCGCCGGCTCCAATAGGACAACTTGATGTTTCCTGCTGCTTCCATGTTAGACCGTGAGCTTCACCATACAAGGTTGCCATTTACATAATGTGGGTGACATAAGTTGACGTGGCCAAATGTCACAATGTCATTGGCAGAGTTTGCTCCCTGATTCAGAGAGTTTCTTCCCTGGGAGAGAAAGAAGCGTCTTTCCAGCAGCTTTAAGGTGAGTGAAAGTGGGACTTAGTTGTAACTTTAGTTCATAAATACTGTCTTGTGTATTCTTCAAAGTTCATTTTTCTTTTTTTTTTAAACCACGGGTGCCAGGTTGGTTCAGGCAAATGCCTAATGTAAAAGAATATCAGACACGAATACCATTACCTTGGCAGGACCAGGATGGCCTCTTCTCCCACGTTGGCCCATACATTGGCTCCAGGTCGACTTGCTCCTGCAACTCTATTTCAAGCGGCTCCACGGACCGCTCCCCCTATCCGTAACCCAGCTCCCCGGGCTTCTCACATGTGAGGAGCCCGTTCTCCAAAGAAAGTTCATTGGGCATCAATATTTGTAGCCACAAAAATGGAAATGTTTTTCGTTCCGAGCGGATTCAACTCATTCATTAGTAATTTTCCATGCAAATTTCCATGTTTAGTCATTAGTTCTCTCAAGCGAAAAATCGTTTCCTAATTACTGCGCACCTGCCGAGTTATAGCAGCTAAAAGTTCAGTGACTTAACCTGTACATTATCCCTCACGTCAACCAAGAGCTCCTTTTCCCCCCAATTCTTTGTTTTAAGCATTAACTGTCGCGATGGAGTGATATCTAATTAGTTTCTCAATGCTAATTTGCTCATGGTTTTCAATGTATAACGATGAAAAGCACTTCCATGTTTGTTCAGACAGAAATGCTGAAACATGGTTTATTCAAGTTGCTCTTGGAATACTGAATTATTTGATGCTAGCTTCATTTTTCAGTGTTACATTCTCAGACTTGCCTGAATTATATTTGGTATTCGTCGGTATTATTCATGCAAGCATTTGTAATTGAAACAGGTGGATTACGTTGTAGAGAAGATTCCTGCAGCTTAAGGATATGACCTTTCTCGTCACCAGTTCTGCTTGCAGACAAGGCCTGTTACCACATCGCCATTGGAGGCAGAACTTCCACACGTTCTATGCATCAGTGTCGCAACTACTCCAACGAAACGGATCCAACAGCATGAAGAGCTACTGCCTGTACCCATGGAGACATTTCGTCGGTGAAGGCTCTTACGTTCGCATGTTTCTTTACTTGAAGTTAGCATTCGTTGAGTGAAATACCTTTATTGGAGTTGTTGCCATCGTCTAAATGCACTTTAATGTTTTCTGTGGCTGGTGTTAATGACTACCCCAAGTTCCCTGCTTTACTATCTCTGGTCTACGTGTTTGACCATTAATTTGACGATGGAATGTTCCAAATGCTTGTCCGTATTAATGTTAATGCATACTTAAACTGTTCCTCGAAACCTTCACATTTGGGGAGGGGGTGGGGTTGGAGTTTTCATGGTTCATGAAGTTACTTGTATGACCAAGGAGGCATTCTCCTACCCCTCTTGAAAGAGCTTAGGCGTTTTGACTTTGTTCCATTATTCACATGTGCACATAAAATTTTGTGGAAATATTCCTGTGATCACACTGATTCCAGTGTTTTTATCTAGACTAAATGTTCAAAAGGTAAACGGTAAAAGTGATATCATGCTCTTATCTGTCCACCTACAACTATATCGTCCTATCTTAATATTTAGTGAAATACGAAAGCTTCATTATATGCATTATTTATGTAGGTCGTCATATCATTGACAGAGCCCAAAAGGAATAGCCACGCTTTATTTGAAAGGTTCGATCTACCTCTTGAGTTGTCGGCCCTTTAGATGTCGGATGGAGTCTTGGACATTATACGAGCGAAAAGTCTTTCAATTCGCTATTGAATTTATGTAAAATCCTTAAATTCTGCATACAATCGAACTGCAAAAAAACAGCGAAACCTTTCGGAATCTGATCCTTTAAGGTTCGGAATTCCTTCATTTTTTCAGTAGTTGAACGCCTGCAGGGAGATTCGGCGGAAATAAAATTCAAAATAGGTATTGCCATTACCTAAATAAAGAAAAAAACTTTTTGGGAAAAAATTGAACTTGCGGTCGATTGTAGGTAGGTGATTCTGATGAAATTTTGGGAGCAAATAAGGTGACTTAATTTGATATGTACGGAGTTAAGATTCAATTTCCAAATACTAAGAATATTTCATATTCCCGTTTCCTTACTGTTTTCCCCCCCTTTGTTGCTCCAGCTGTTCCATCATTAGTGGCTACATGGACCGTTCCCCCAGCCCGTAACCGGGCTCCTCACTCGATCAGAGACAACTGAATGGAATTGGCTGTTGTCCCCCCAGAGGAACGTGCTGACGGTCTCTGGTGAAGTAAATTGGTCAACAACCATCTTGCCTCTGCGCCGGTGTCCAAACCACTTCGCCTCAACAAGGAGGGAACGATTTCTGGACAAGGTAATTTTGGTTAGAGACAAGCTTTCATCTGCTCATCGATGAGATTCTCTTAAAATAGCAAGTGAAATGCCCCATTCCATTCCAGGGGTTAGGTGGGTGATAGGGCATTCTTCAAGCCGAAGTTCCCTTCATCTCCAAGCCTACTGGAAGTTCTGGACGAACAATTGTCATCTCCCAAGAGGTTCAGGTTAATTGCGTTCCAATGATAAATATTCGACATCAAACTTCTGATGACGGTGGACTTCAGAATTATTTGCAAATGTCATGACTATCTCCCTTTCACTTGTAAAACCAAATATTGTGATTAAATCCATAGAAAGGGATCAACTAAAGTAAATCAATCCGACCTTAGAAGCACGATCAGACCTTCCTTATCCTGGAATTCAATTGGGACATATTCCTTTACTTCAAATCAGATATCCATTTGGAATAATCTTCTTACATCTTCAGGTTTGCGTGTGGTAGGAAGTTAATAATTATGCATTCATAAATACATTATTCGCAATTAGTGCAGAAACGCACATATATGTATTTGCTTATGGCAAAAATCAATTGACGTAATTTTTCCCGCCAGCGTCATATGTTTCATGAAAGGAAATATAGGCATCGAAATTCATATTCATAATTTTTTTGTTTTTTTATTTTTGCTGATGCAGGGTGTGCTCCAGAAACTTTCATGGAGAGGCGAGTCCTGGTGAGGCAGCCCTGACCAAGGAGAAGCTCTTGCGGCCCTTCAACTATAATCCGTAGCTGAATGGAACCAGTGGGATCAGTAGGGACATATTGAAGTGCAGAGCTCCGAACTCTCAGGCTTGTTAGCATAGTCTGGAACTGGTTGTTTTAGGGCATTTCGGATTCTTTTCCACTCATTGATAGCTTACTGCCTCACTTTAGCCCGTTTCATTTGTTGAGACCATATCGTCCTTAAACATCATATTAAATTAAATTGGCGTCTTAATACGTAAGTAATATATAATTACTTTAAAGCAAAAGTGTTTTGAATAGGAGTGAAGATTTTGGATACCTAATCTCAATATGAAAAAATAAAATAGCTTGAGCTAAGACCACATTTTTTTAGTTGCCTTTGATTGAACCTAACGTGGCCTTGTCTATTCTAACCATCCTTAGCTAACATGGTTTTAGTTCTAACCCTTGACCTAAACCTCGACTAACTCCATTTAAAAGTTACATGACAAGGTCACGTTAGGCAATTAAAACTGAAGATCGAAGAAGTGAAAACTTCCACACTTCTAATGGTGCGATAAATGGTGCGATAAATGGTGCATTTTGTTGCAAGCACCATTTTAAGTTTGAAGGTAACCACGGGAAAAAAACATTGATTAGTGCAAGCGTTGTCAATTTCACTTTCACTTTTATATGGATATATTAAGGAGATATTGTTCACAATTGCAGTGTTTTATCTCCTATTACATGTCCCCCATCGAGCTAAATTATTTTAGACTAATGCATGTCAGCAACTATAATTGAAGCTTTGCATTAGCAGTCGTTCTCCAATTTCGCTCTTCAAGAGCTACTGGAATTTGATAATTGTTTGATTTTCGAATGGAGTATTAATTTAATTGCGAAATTGTAATCAGAATCCTTGTCGGATTTTTTTGGTAGTTGAGTTTTCGTTAGATTGTGTTGAGAGGACGGGACTTGAGTTTCATGGGTAGTCCTGAAGTTAGTCCCATAGTTGAAAAGTATTTCAGTTTCCACCATTACTCGCTGGTTCCAATAGGACAACTTGATGTTCCCTGCTCCTTCCAATACTAGACCTTGAACATTTCAGTCAAGTTAGCCAGTTGCAGAAAAAGTTGGCACGGCCAAATGTCAGGTCTTTGGCTGAGTGTGCTCCCTGGTTCAAGAAGAGTTTCCTCCCTGAGAGATGGAGATGGGGAAGTTCCTTTCCTGCACCTTCAAGGAGGTGTGTCAAAGTGAGACTTAGTTGCAACGTAAGTAAATAATTGTCTTGATTTTTAAATCTTCATTTTTCTTTAAATTCTTACATTTTATTTTTCCTACTGCTGCCAGGTCGGTTTATGCACATGTGTCGGAATAGCAGACACAGATACAAGTGACCATTATCTTGGTGGCAGGACCAAGATGGCCTCGTCTCCCATGTTGGCCTCTGCAATGGCTCCAGGTCATTTTACTCTTGTTACTCCATTTCTAGCGGCTCTGCGGACCGCTCCCGCTGTCCGTAACCCAGCTTCATGGGCTCCTCACCTGATTAGCGACAACCTCGTGGACATCACCCCAAAGGATTGGGCGAGGGAAGCATGTGATGGCCAGCAACTCTGATTCTGCACTGGTGTCACCTCAACCCTGAAGTGGACTTTTCCACCTGAAATGGTTATTTTGGCAAGAGGTCCCATTCTTTTTGGATGAGATTGTCATAAATGAACCGAATGAAATTCATCATTTCAATTTCAGGTGTTGGGTGACTGAGAAGGCCTATTCCAGCAGGAGCCTCCTTCTCCATCGCTTCCCCCTCTCAGCATCTTCAAGTACAATGGAACATCTAGCCGAACATGCGTCGTCTCCCCAAAGGCAACAGGTTCAGGTTAATTGCGCTCTTTTAATCTTTTCTTTTAATTCTAACCAATTGAAACGAAACTATACGTTTTTGGAAAGTATGACCTGTATGTTATTACGAATACATGTTCAATATACTACATTGCTTCAGAAGTGCATTTTTCCGATGCCAGATGTTAATGGTTTTGCGGCAATTCGTCTGCAGTACTGATTTAGTAATAAGTATTAGGTTGTCTGTTATGTTATATTCTAATTGTTCCAAGGCAGTCACAGAGTGGGTCAAAAGATACTTTAAATATGTAACTTCACAGGAAGTAATTCATTTGCGAACGTTTTTTTTTGCATTGGAAAGATCGTACGCTAATTCACCTAAATGGAACGTTGAAAACATTATTTTTTGCACTTGCGTAACTGTCATGAAGCATTATTAAGCTTGATCACTCTGCGAAAGCGAGTCGTCATTGAATGGCAGATGGTTGCATGCATATAGGAGTCAATTCCAACAATATTTTCATTGACGTGATGCTTGAGCTCGTAGATCGTGCGCGGATTTTCGGGAAATACCTAGATCTCGATAACAACCCACAACCTGAAGTCGAATTGAGCCTGGTCGGGCAGCCTGGGTGCCGATATAGGTTGGCGCCGACCTATCCACCTGTTTTTGAAGTAAAACGACACTTCAATTCTGTTTCATCCACAGAGAACGAAGGCGACGTTCTCCTCCCAAGAAAGTATATCGGGCATTATGCAGCCATTTGGAGAAGTGTTTTTCGTTCTGTGTAGACTTCACAGACACAAATATTCCATGGGAATTTTCATGTTTAGTCAATTAACATTCTCTTTCACATGCAAAATATCGTTTCCAAATTACTGCGTTCCTGCCCGGTTATAGCTATTCAAAGTCTGTCAGTGACTTTTAACTTGACCAAGCCTCACAGGTCAACCAAAAGCTCCATGTTTGTTCGGACAGAGAAATGCTGACAAATTATGCTTCAGTTGAGTTGCTCTAGGAACACTGAATTATTTGATGTTGACTTCATTTTCAGTGTTACATTCTCACTCATTAGTCTGATTATCTTATGGTATTCAGAATTATTCATGCAAGAATTTATGGAAACAGGTGGATTACGTTGATGGTGAGACGATTCCTGACACTTAGGGAGATCACCTTTGTCACCAGTTCTGCTTGCAGACCAGGCCTGTTACCACATCGCCATGGGAGGCAGAAATTCCACACGTCCCATGTATCAGTGTCGTAACTACTCCAACGAATCGGATCCAAAGGAATGAAGAGGTTCTGCATGTACACACGGAGAAGCTTTGATGGAGGCTCTTAAATTTCACGTTCCTTTAATTTTTATTAGGATTCTGAGTGATACCTATATTCGAATTGTTGCCATTGTCTAAATGCACTGAAAGTTCTTCTATGACTGATGTTAATGACGGTCATAATGACGGTTCAACCTGCTTTGTCCTCAAATTGACGGTCAAACCTGTTTACTAGAGGTAGTTAAGTTTTCCGAATCCTTAACCATACTTGAAAACTAATTGTTCTCATGGCAAGGTGGAATTCTGAAGTTCAACACTATCCCCTATTGTTTACATTTTGCTGACATTTCTAATAGTGCTTGGTGTGAGACTTAATGTGAGAGCTTAAGCCTTCAAGAGTGAAGGATCTTATTGAGAAAAAAATTAATTCCTTGAATCAAGTTTCAATCAAGTTGAGCTCTCAAGCTTTGTGTAGTTTGGAACTGGTTGCTTCAGAGAATTTCGAACACATTTCCACACTGATTAATATATTGCCACATTTCAGTCTGCTTCGTTTGTTGAACCCGTTTAGGGCTCTCAAATGAATTTTTAAATTGGCGTATATGTGTAATTAATATATATAAATACTATAAATACTCAATCAAAAATAATAGGAGTGAAGAGACTTTGATACCTGACCTCAATACATACAAATGAAGTAGCATTGAACTGAGACGACATTTTTCTCCTTGCTTTTGACCTAGCTCAACGTGGCCTTGTCTACTGTGACCATCCTCGGCTAACGTGGTTGTAGTTCTAACCCCTGACCTTAACCCACTCTAACCGCATCTAACTCCATTAACATGTCGCATGACAAGGTCACATTGGGTAATTAGAACGTACATTGAAGTGGAAAACCTCCACACTTCTAGTGGTACGATAAACGGTGCATTTTGTTGGAAGCACCAGTTCACGTTTGATGGAAACAACGGGACAACATTTAAATTAAATTAAGGGTTGTCAATTTCATTTGTGCATATTGAGGCGGTATTGTCGAGAATTGCAATTTTTTACTTTCCTCGATGAAATGTCTTACGTCGAGCTCTATTATTGCATTAGATTGATATATCGTAGCAACTATACCTGAAGTATTGGCAGTCCTCCATTTTCGCTCTTCGAGAGCTACATGAATTTCCTATTGAAAACAGTTTAGTTTCCACCACTTGCCACTGGTTCCAATTCGACCACTTGATGGTCCCTGCTGCATCCCATAAAGCTTCCCCACCTTGAGCTTCCCCAAATAAGGTAGCTATTTACAGAATGTGGGTGACATGAGTTGGCATGGCCAATGGTCACGAGACTTTTGCCAGCGTTTGCTCCCTGGTTCAAACAGGGAAAATGTATTGCTTGAATTCGATTTATCAAAACTTGTAGTTATAAGTACGATCAGATTCGTTCCCAACATCACCTTGCCTATAATGAATGTTTTGTTTTAATAGATATTGAGCAAATCTTTCACTAAACATTGCATTTATCAAAATACAACATAAAATGTTCTGAATTTGTGCACCTACCTAGTTCTCTGCTTCCTTGCTTCACAATACATCCTCTCCCGCTCCTTTCCTTGACTTCAACTACAGCTTGAAATGTCACTTAGGGTCATTTTGGATAATAAGCAGGAAAATATACTTCAAAAGCAATGGAGGGAAACCAATTTGAAAGGAATCGCAAATTACCTTTCTTGCTTTTGCCGCTGCAGAGACGTAATGCGCATACCTTTCTCCCTCTTTCCTCAGGAAGTCCACTTTAGTTGCCCTCAATGTCTGGGGACTAATTATGAAATTGTTTTAATGAGTTAAGCAAAGAACTAGTTTTCTTTTTGGTAGCGAGGCGACTAGGTTTGGTCGAAGACAATTGTTCACGATTCAAGCTTTATATTGAGCAATCTTTCTTCAGAATGTATGACCACACTATTTTCCTATCACTGCCGTTCCAAGTTTCGCCTTCTGATTTACAATTGGGTGGATGTTTGAGTGGAGGTGGTTCAACCCCTAAGGACCATATGATTTTCCGATGTTTACTTCAGATTTTAGTTTGTTTCATGTAGTTTTGGTTTTGTTGATCTTGAATTTCATGTGTATTTTCTATGAATGAATTTTTTTTATCACTCCGATTCCCTTAATTTGGAAAAAGGGGTCTTTCTCAGAGTGTAATGCTTATGTCAAGGTGCTAGGCTAAAAATCGCTGAATTGACTCCCCCTCCTCGCGATTGCCATTGCGTTCGTAGCTCTCCTGAGAGCAACACGAGCATCCCGCATGGAGGATCCGAATTTGATGCGCGACCAAGTCTGCGCCCTGCAGGTTTCGCTTTCGAGCCCATCTCCTTGCGTCTTCTCGCCGACTCGATACCGCAAGTTCTGAAATTAATTCGGAACCATCAACGAAACGGAGTTTCGTTGATGGTTTGGAAAGGAAGTGAAGAAGGAAAATTGTTTGCACTAAAAAAAAAAACACTATGGATCTTCCTTATTCCAGATATACCTTGCAGGGAAAAGAAATAGTTCATTTATATTAAGATCGTACCTAAAAGCCAGAGGCATCTAATGTTTGTTTCAACTTGAATGGTAATCCACTCCTAATATGTTGCACTTCTAACAATATTTGCCCCCCCCCCCATTACTGTGAAGCTCGCCAATTAGATCGAATTGTTGCGCTTGGAAACTATGACAATGTAATACATGAAAAATGACCATGTCGGCATCAGGAATTTACTGGCGCAGGGCCGGTACTATGGACTTCATGCCCATTGTTTCTCTTCCATGCATCTATTTTCTCCCCGAGGGCTTCCGGCGGATCACGTTATCGCCTCGCTCTCCGCTTCAAAAGTGAAATTGTTTGTTCTGGATGAGAATCGCGTCGGAGTCCCCTCATTTCCCCTCCCAGCTGTAGGGGTTTTGCATCGCGTTCGTTCCTGGGCGAGCCAAATACGCAGTGTCTTTCACCGACGCCTGTTCGGACATAGGTCACCGTTGCTGTTCGTGATAGACACCTTTGGCTGCGTGAGTGCTGGGTTTAGGGAATATGAGCAAAAAAATTAAGCTCACTAGACAAGTTGAAACCAAATCGCATATCATGCGTCCTACCACACCGGCCAATTAGTACTCCTTTAAATTGCCATTTGTAATATCCCCGGGATTTCCAATGTTGGGTATGTGTTGAAATTCTCATCGGCGATGTGGGACCAACGTCGGGCCACCGCCTAACGTTGCTGAACCGCACGATATTCACCCGGTTGAGTGAGGCTTCTAACGAGATTCCGTTTTTCTGCTTGTTTGCTTAGCTCTCCAACCTTGAGTTTTCGTCACCAAGTCTCTCTTTATCAGAGGGGGAAAAACTCCAGGGAGTCGCACTCCCATCAACTGTCCCGTTTCGAGTCCCATCGTGATATCGTTCGATGCTCGCTCTTTTACTCCTGTTTTAGAGCACATGTTTGAATTAAAAAATTTGGTTGCATATGTTAAACTTCAGTTTTTAAAAGGGAACGACGCCTCAGCTCGGGCGATTGTTTTATGACACTCTTCTCACGCCTCTAGTGGTAAGAAGTAGTCATGTACCATAACGACCTAATTCAATTTTCGATTGGATTAATTGACCCCGCAGGACGTGCTCATACGCCGTCATTGTTCCAGACAGTTTTCTAAAACTTGGAGCGATGGAATTTGCGAATGTTCTTCGTCAGCCTTTAGAACTGGTCAATTAGGACAACAGGAAATTTCATCGAACCGACCCGAACAGGCTGCAGGATCGTAACATTCCTATATTACAGCTGCATCTAAAATATTACCGTACTTGCTACTAGGTGTTGGCCTCGGGCAGTCTGAGAATTCGTTCGCATTTCCCCCCCTTATATTCAAGACTCAGCTGCGAAATTTCCAGTTTCATCTCAGTGTTCAATTCCCATCAAATTCACGTTCTCGTACTCGTGGTCGCGACGGAGAATGCTTTGGGGTGGTGGTCAACGAGTGCTTCAGGATGTACATCAACCCTGTGGTGCTCAACTTCCTCGAACAGGCCATGCCTTGCTGGAAGACGGTCATGTCCCTCAAGGGACAGGACTCCACTCTGACAACACGCGAGATTTCCATCAAACGCGGTATCTTCCAGGGGGACACGCTGTCTCCTCTACTCTTCTGTCTGGCTCTCAACCCTCTCAGTACTAAGCTAGCTCGGACTGACTGTGATTAAGAATGCAGACAATTGAATGAATCACCTTCTCTACATGGATAATCAGAACTCTACGCCTCCAACGAGAAACACCCGAAAGCCTTCTCAACGTCGTCAGCATCTTCTCGAAAGACATCTGCATGAAGTTCGTTTTGACAAGTGAGCGAAGCGCTCTATCCACTGCCGAGTCCTGACCCCTATGGGAGAGATCACCACCGCCAACGACGAACAACTTCGAGAGCTTACAACCCCTGACACCAATAAGTATCTCTGTGTGGAAGTGAACTCTTCCATGGCTGTGAAGCACACGAAGCAGAGACTGACGACTGAATACAGAGTTCGTCTCGTACTGAAGACCGAGCTGTCCGGCAAAAACAATATTTCTGCCCTCAACAACCTCGCCACCCCTTTCACATCCTAGCCACAAAACATCCTAGCCATCCTAGCCAGCAGATGCTGTCATGGATCACCCGAAACTGTTCACCACCTCCTCAGTGCCTGCCCCGAACTAGCCCCGAGGGAGTACTTGTACAGGCACGACCAAGGGTGCAAATATGTACACTGGTTTGTCTCAAAGCAAGCCGGTCTGGAAGTCCCAGAAAAGTGGTACGAACACCAGCCACAGTCTGTTGTAGAGAACGCCTCCACCAAGATACTATGAGACATGCCTATAATTACAGACCGCAGTATAGGCTGCAATAGGCCGGACCTCACGATCTATAAGAAGGAAAAGAAGACCGCCCTTCTTGTAGATGTGAGCATCCCAGCCGATAACAACCTCCAGGAGAAAACCAGGGAGAAGCTGGAGAAATACTCCGAACTGACAATGGAAGTGGAACAGTTGTGCGGAATGCAGACCACCATAGTTCCGATCATCATAGGTACAACTGGCGTCGTCTTGAAAGACCTCAAAGGACATGTCAGGAAGCTGGAGTGTGAAATCTCATTCGATATTCTCTAGCGTACAGCATTCGTGGGCACGGCCAGCATCCTTCGCCGTATCCTTCAGAATTAGGCGAGTATGAGGTCTGGGATGTGGTTCATCCCCCCTCATATCTCCAAAATACCGGCAGGTGCCGTGGAAGGATTTATTTTTTTAAATTTTATTTTTTTATATATATATATACACGACCCTGCCATCAACTTGCGGTGCAACTTGACCCTTTTCGACATCTCCGCACTAGGAATGAAAAAGATTAAAAAGGGGAACAGTTTCTGCCCGAACAGAGAGCAGATTAGGGCGTCCACAGCTTAAGTCTCTCTCACATTCACCACAGAATCACAAATCATTAGCTGATTAAGGTTCGCACCTATGCTACTCATTAACAGCCAGTGTATTGTGTTCTATGAATGTGGAGATGGCGATGCTCAGGTAACCAACATCCCACTCAATGTTGCGCAGTAAGAAGTTTTTCCTAGTGCGGAGATCCGTGCCCGAAGGGTCTCACCACGTCCCCAGACTCATAATATGAGAAAGATCGGCAAAGGGAGAAGCTGATAGACTAATATGTCTCGCTGGTATAGGATATTTTGGATGTGCTGCAATCCGAGCCTATGTATGCTCGCCTTCAAGAAGTATAGGCTGGAAGTAAAAACTGTCCCCTGTGGAAATAAGACCTAGAAAAATGAGAGTAGAAGCAAAAGCAACAGAAAATGAAGCAGAGAAATCTATTGAGTGAGAAGACCAGGATCTGGCACATAAGATGTCTGGGACAGTTCTAAGTAATGAAAGGGAAAATGGCCGAAGCCATCCCCTCTCCATACTTATTTAGGATAGGCAGATAGTGAGTCTTATTAAAGAGAGAAAATTGTTGTTTAAGTATCCAGCTTGGATATCCATTATTTTTAAGCTTCTCATGTAAAATGGAACTGTTGACAAAATTATCTTCTAAATCGCAAATAAGCAATATCTGCCTAGTTGTGATTTAATCACATTCTTTATAATGTATGAAGGGATATTTGATCTATACATGGGCAGAAAATTTGTCAATGACCACCATGGGCATATCATCACTGGAGACCTAGATATATTGGAAAACAACATGCTTCTGAAGATATTTACCAATGGGGCAAAATATCGTTTCATTCGAAAGCTAGACAAAGATCAATTTTTTGAGCAAATAACAACTGATGTTCACTCATATATATCACGAATTTCCTTTCAAACAAAAATGCCTGCCTCTGCTTTTATTCCCTGGAGAACGAAGGCATTGCAAGCCCTCAAAGAAAGCATCAACAACTGGCAGCTAGAATATAAAAGAAGCTCCTTAGGTATTTCTTATAGAAATATCTACACATGAAAAATACTTCCTTTCCGTAGAATTTATATTTACGTTTTGTTTTATCGATGACCTTTTGGCAATTAATAATGACAAAATGAATTAGGAAATCAACATCATTTATCCAGATACAATGGAAGTGGAAGAAACAACCAATCCTCCATTTGATGCAGCTCATTATCTAGATCTAAATTTACAAATATCTGGCTCTAAGTTTGTGACATGCATCTACAATAAACATAGGGACTTCTCTTTTTCCATCTTGAACATGCCCATGTATAGATCAAGTATCCCTTCGTACATTATAAAGAACATGATTAAATCACAACTATTAAATCACAACTCCCACAAATAAGCAGATATTGCTTATTTGCGATTTAGAAGAAAGATTTTGTCTTCAACAGTTCTTTTTTACATGAGAAGCTTAAAAATAATGGATATCCAAGCTGGATACTTAAACAACAATTTTCTCTCTTTAATAAGACTCACTATTTGCCTATCCTAAATAAGTATGGAGAGGGGATGGCTTCGGCCATTTTCCCTTTCATTACTTAGAACTTCTTCTTTGTTTTGATACTCATTGATTTTTCAGTCATTAAATAGAAGAAATGCTTGTCAAAACCATCTGCATGACAAGACCAGTCCTAATAATACATTTTAACCATTTAACTACTGAATATTACATAGGTGGTTTGAGTCATGTATCATTGGCATATACGCAGCAGTAGCAGTAACAAGCAGAAAATTCTTAATGTGCATTCACATCATCAACAGTGGAAGCATTTTTTTTGGGGATGCATCAAGGCATCAGTAGCAGTCAATGGGTTAATGGTCTGATTCAAAGCCATAGAGTTACTGTGCAGCTGTCATTTGACTACAAGCACAGCCTCCTCTACATTTAAAAAATCCAAATTCATTTGAGTGGAAAAGGAGTGTTCATGTTGAGTTGGTTGAGATGTGATTTCGCATGTAATTCTTTCATTCAAGGCACAGTGACCTGAATAGAATTGCTCTTAAAAACCTAGATATAAGGTGCTAACTCTTAAAATGAATAATTTCCTTGCCCCAAACAGTGAAATTGATGAAGGAGAGAAGACAGAAGAAGAGGAGAAAGAAGGAAGGAAGGAGATGGAGGGATCAGGAGTCACCATGACTGGGAGCACATCTTCTGGTGATGGTAAGAAGAAACTTATAGGTGGTGACAACTTATTCAGTATCTATGCTATTTACTCCTTCCACCTTGTCAGGTTCTATGACAACCAGCATTTGCACAGAGGTGAATCGTCGGTCTCCAACAACCAGGAAGCCCATGGAAGATGATGATGATATTCGTGTCTATGATGTTCCAAATTCTCCTCGTCATGTGAGCCCCTGAACAGTGTTTTTTGTCTTCCATCTTTAACCTTCAGTCATTGAGGCATATTAACAATTTCAGTCCCTGGCATTTAAATGGCTATTCTACTGTGGGTCTGCCCATTTTAGCCACTTTAAAAATTCACTAGTTATAATTTACAGACATGAGCATAGTTTTTTCATGTAAATAATGATGCATAAAGTGTATAAATTGCATTTTTATAAATAGGAGAGCCATTTGCATAAACAATTGCATATTGTAAAATTATAAAAAAATAGTAAAATTTACTGTTGAGCTGATTTTCTTTGAACCATTTTTGCATCTAAACTGAGAAAAAATCTCTTCTTACTCTAATCCTAGTATGCCTGCATAGGGTGTCAAAAATGGTCACTGTGCATCTGGTACAAACACAATAGCATGTGCCTGCGAGTTATAACAAATGCTGGAAGTGACCCCCAACATGCACGGACACATTGAATCTTGTTTCTGAAGCCCCTTGCCAACACATGAGTTGTAATTTTGCATATGACATCCTGCAATTCTCTGATACTGTGGGGGTTGTTTCTGCGGATGTCTCTTTTCATTACGCTCCACAGATAATAGTGTGAGGGAGTAAGATCTGGGAACTGGCGAGGCCTAAGACTCTTCCCAGCAAGCAATTTGAAACACATAACTGATTCTGAATGCAATTCAGAAGCTGAAAAAGGTGTCATTTCCAGACAAGGGATGGGGTATTTTTTGCTGATATTTTTGCCAGTGCTCATGTACCATTTCAATCAGTATAGTGCTGCAGTGTACTGGTGAAGCACAATGGGTTATCTTTAAGGAGCATTCAATATCAGCGATGTGCACTTGTCGTAGCATAGGATGAATAAACATTGGTTCTAGGCTTAATCCCTTTGAAGAGTATGTCAATGAGAACTTCCACATGAGATACCAATTTAGAAAGGGATCAGAGAATGATCTCGACTTGCTTCGCACTGAACTCAAAAGAATGAAAATAGCAGAAGGGATCCCTTAACTTTACATCAACAGATAAGAACAATCAAGGTTCATGTGCAATGAATCATGATTTATACACGTACCCATCCCGAGTAATTGATCAGTGTGATCCGAAAGTAAAAAGTGTCATGAAAGCCTTTCGATTTGCATGTTCTGCTGATCCTTCGATTTTATTTGGCATCGATTCCTTGAAATGGAATGGTGCAAGCCATTGCTCATTTGCATCACTCTTTACATTCCCAGGAGGAAAAACTGAGTATTTGTTAAAAGACAATTATTTGATACCGCTGGATTTTCAGGAATGATTGGTGCCATTTACGACTGTCGTATTCAAATAGAATGCCCAGCCAACTGTTATCAACACAAAGGCTTCTATTTCATTGATGTCCAAGCAGTGCACGATGTGGAAGGTATTTTTACTGATGTCACTTCGTGACCAGGATCCATAGGTGATTCTTGGATATCCTCATTTTGCAATTGTGCACTAATGATACTTTTTTTCACATTTCCAACTTCTCCGTGTGCAAAGTGAATCCTTGACATTACCCCTGATGTAATAAATTACAAAGAAGGGTCAGTGAAGAACTCACCAGTTTCCAGGCATGATTATTCTTGTGCAAGGAGAGTGCATTGTATCTCTCTATCATGAGATTCTCATTTACAAGCTCTGTGAGATGTACTTCATTGTCAGAGAAAAAGTTCTCATTTTTCACTTGATTCGTTCATTTTTTGCCAAGTCTGAAGTGTATTACACGGCAGCCAAGAAGTCAGAACGTGCTATATATACCATGAGGGGCGCTTTGTCATCATCTAACCATTGGCTATGAAAACAGCTTGGGGATCATTCATGCAATCGAAAGTAGACAACGGTTAATCGATATTTTCTTCGAAAATGTTTAAACAATGGCTATTGATAATCATTGTTTAAAATAAACATTGTTCATGCAATTGGGCTATAATGTTGAATCAACATTGAATAAACGTTCAGAACGTTGATACAACATTGGTCCAATGTAGCCTTGTTTGTTGCGTTGTTTGTTATTCTGTCCCGAAAATATCGTCCAGCAGTGCCATTTGTGATGTGTGCCATAGCACCATTGGAAGTTACTGCTGGAAGTTTAGTCCTGGTTCATTTGTCTGCTGAATATTTTGTGCATGTCTGGATGTATGTGGAGCCATTTCCAGAATTTTTTTTTATTACTCACAGTTACTATTCAGTTTGTACTAGGTGCACAGTGACTCTTTGGACACCCTGTATGATATGCCTCTACCACTCCACTGTATGTTGATAGGTTGTTGTTGCATGGCAGCTATAAACATATATGTACAGGCTCAGGACTGAAAGTGTTTACTATTCATATGATTAAAAAAAAACTTTCCTTAGAAAGGTGAGGTAGTGATAGATACTCATTGTAGGTATTATTGAAGGTATTAATCTATTATTGGAAGTCTAAGCCCAGTTGGACACAGACAACTGCCAGCTGTTGCTTTAAGTGAATGGGTTAAAAGTAAAAAATGTTAAAGAAACTGCCAAGGAAGGAGTCTGAATTTTATTAAAACAATAAAATGTGAAAGAAAGCAGAGTCACTTGTCAATCCTAGCTAAATTTGTAGGATTGCAACAGTGTCCCTTCCCATGGAAAACCAATATGTGATCACATGGTCATAAGTCTTTTTCCGGTAGGTGTCAATCATGTTATGACCAGCTCTCAAGGCTGCCCAAGGCTGTTTTTTTTGCAACCAAGGCAACCTACTCCATAAATAGAAGTCATCCAGAAAGCTGCTTGATTTGAAGTGTATTGTACAAGGGTGAGTCAATAAATAATGCCACTTTGCTCTCCACAGCTCTTCAATAAGCACACAGGTATATATTCTGTTAGTCATTTTTTAACATAGTCCCTGAGAACTGAGATGCGTATGGCCCATCTTGGTACCAACTTCCTTATGCCTGCTACATGGAACTCTTTTGGGTTGGTACATAGTGATGCTTGGACAGCCTCCTAGACATCCTTGAGCCATGCGAAGTGCTTGCTGCATAGGGCCTCCTTCAGGGGCCCAAACAGGTGGTAGTCTGATTGGGCGAGGTCCGGGCTGTACGGTGGGTGTAGTAGAACCTCCCACTTCAGTTGATGGTGTCAATTGAAGTGGGAATGAGGGTGTACTGGTTTTCAAATGTTGGGCCCTATGGGCATTCATGGGCTGTTTGGGTACACACCTGCATGACAATTGTGGGCACTCTACTGTAGCTAATGCTGTTTCATTGGCAATATCATCTAACATGATGTATGCCAGTTTCATTGGCAATATCTTCTAACATGATGTGTCAATCGCTACAGATAGGTAGTTCCACATGTGCGAAGTTCTGTGGGCACATGGCCTCCCATAGTCTCCCAGGGCAATGTTCATCATGAACACTCTGTCTGCCTTCTTCAAGCTTTTCTGTCCACCTGTACTCATTCTTAGGTCCATGCATGATGCCCTGTATTGTGCACTCATTTGCCAATAAATTTCACTTCCACTCACCTCTTCCAACCACAGAAATTGGATACATGATTGCTGTTTCTCACGTGTACAACTTTCCAGTCCTGCCACCATATTTGTCACGTGATTTGCTGCTGCCAAGCTGGAACTACAGATTACCGCTGAATGAGTATATGATGCAGGGGTGCCAACCTACATTGCTGCATGGAGACATCTATCCATACCATTGTATATGCGGCACTGGAATCAGTAGTGGCATTATTTGTTGACTCACCCTTGTAGTAATCCTCCTAGCTATTGGCTTTAGGATCATCATATCTTCTGTGATTGTAATGTAGATGATTTTGCAGGGGAGGGAGATAGAGCATATCACCCTAATTCATGGTACCCAGAAAGCACTTGAACTCCTGAAAAATATCAAGGACAAGAGTGTGAAGCAAAATGTTGCAAACAATGAATCTCCAGCAGCAACTTGCAATTACTTTCTGGATATGTTTCTCGCTGCCCGGATCCCAATTCACGATATCCCATCCCGAGGTTGTGAATTGGGAACAAGGTGGATGAAGTATCCTATGGATGGGATATCCTGCTTGGATCATCGCCTCAAACTCTACTTGGATGTTAAAGTCTTCAACCATGAGGATGAGGAGCCCAGAGTCATTGCACGGGTTAGTTTGTCTACACCCTCTTGTTTGTGGAGCTTCTTTTGTGAGGGAGATTCATCTTCCTCTTTGTTTCACTTCTTCTCCCTAGGGAGAGGTGTGGTGCAGCAAGTTGACATCGCTCCAGCAATCTCTTCTTGTCTTATCGACCCATCGTCTCTATGTCCTTGCAGTGACTCAATTTGAGAGGTGATACTATCTTGTTTCAAGTCCACAAAGGAGAGATATGTGGTAGACTGAAACATCTCCTTTCTGCTTCTGAATAGTAATGAGATCAAGGAAGGGTTTCCTTCATGTATACTTTAGAACAAGTGGTTATGGATGCCCAGTTTTCAGAGAATGGGTGGAGATATGGAAAATGTGCTGAAATAGTCTATATTGTAAAATAAGGAGAGAGAATCATCAAGGAAGTATAGTACTAACCTAATTACTCTCAAAGAGAGGACTGGGAAGCAAAGATCCTTCATTGGCAACTTTGTAGCCATGTAGTCACATGCTTGTCACATCATCTATTGCCAAATGGACTGTTCACCATATGATTGCTTTAATTGCCAATCACACTTGCCATTTAAATCCCAACCTATGATATCTCTTGCTAAGATATTTCCAACTGTTTTTTCAAGGGCCTTTTCAATGACTGCCATTACAACCTGCTCGGTTGCCATTAGCAAATCTGATGACAAGATGTGATGAAACTATTGATGCATAAACATTTTTAAAATTAACATGATCATGGACAGACTTGACTTCTTTAATAGAGATTGAGGAATAGGAGAAAAGAAAGCCTCGTTAGGTCTAGAGTCATGAAGAGATTATATAGTTATGTTCTCTTCTACAATATTCAAATTGGAGAAGTGTTACAGCAACCAGCTGCTCTAGTTGTCCATCAGATCTAGCTCCTCATTAGATTTGGCTGCTTTATTTTGGCAATATTTTGCATTGCATTGTATAGCTAGAATTCTATTGGGTGGCTATTAAGATTTGTTGAAATCAGCTGCAGCTGAGATTAATCTCCTGCCAATACCCATTATCACATCTATATTTTGAGGAGTACTGCTCTTCAATTGTCCTATTGTCTGTATCAAAAGTAGTTGAATTGAATACAAGGACCCATCAAAGAGTTCCTGGACCTACACTCATGACTCTAAATGGTAATAGCACTGGACATGTGGCTGCTAATATAATATTAACATGACCTTGGGAGGTGAGCAAGAAATGGCATTGCCTTAGTGACCCTGATGGTTTCAAAGCATATGCTGCATTGCACTTTTGTCATTTGCTACAATGTCACTATAGAGCAATGTGTGGTTATGAAATGCTACAGAAAGACTGGCAAATCATAATTGGGGGATGGGGAAGAGGGTGGCACCATTGGTGATGCCAGATTCCTTTCTCTTCCCTTCAAGCTACTTCACTCTGGAGCCATTGTTGAGAGTCTAATTGCAAGGCAGTGTCAAGATGAAATCTTTGAAGGCAGTTTCAAGAAGTTGTTGGAGTGTTTGATTGATGTAAACTAATTGTGATTCTTAGCATGCATTGACTTGATATAAGCATCAGCCTGATGCGTGCAACTTGATGGATCTTTATCCCTCATCTAATGGACTTAGGCACTTCTTAGTGTTCATCAGTGTGTGAAGAGCCAGAAGCAGGAAAAGTTGATGTGATAGATATGAAAAGTTTATATGATGTCAAGATTTGCATTCTTATGCAGCTTGTTTGAAGGAATGCTTGAGAATGAAGACCCATGATTCTGTGTCAATGCTTAGTGATGAGCCTGAACAGTGGCTGCGACTAACTGACTCATTCCTGAAAGAGGAAGTGAGAGGAGTGTCAGGGATGGTGGGGGATCAGGGGTTGATTATCTTCACATCTTCCATCTATCTCCTCTTCCTTATCAAGGATTCAGGGACCTCCACTCGTGTCATCAGTGCATTCACAGGTCCTATATTTTCTCTCTCCTCACACTCTCTCTCTCTCTTTCTCAATCTCTCATACACACTCATTCATAGCTTTTGATGTATCAAATGCTATCCATTGCAGCGGCAGGCATGACACTGGAGCAAGAATCCAAGAGGATGGAGAGAGAGAATTGCCTGAAGGCAGTAATAGGGGGAGGGAGCATCCATGGGATCTTCTTCTCCAGGGTTAGAACTTATACTCAAGGTGAGTTCAGCATCCTGGAGCAGCCTAGCACACCTCAGCTTAGCTCAGCTGAAATTATATGGTTTTTGTTTGTTCCAGGTGATTGGGAAGGTCATTTTCTGGTGATCACACAGAATTCCCTTGTTCTGCTGTCTGCAGATCTCTCATGGCTTGTCCCTCATGGCCCAACTCCCTCTGTCAAGGCTTCTCTTCCCATCTCTGATCTCACCTCTATAGTCTGCTTTCCTCTTTGCCCAATTTTTTTCTCCATAAGTAGGACCAAAAACCAAATGGTATGTGTTTTCCTTGTCATTCAGACAACATATGCAGATCTCCCGTTGGTGTTGACTGGAACATTTTGGAATGAGGACTCAGGAGCAGAGACATGCTGGGACTTGGCATTTCAGAATCCTTCCTGCATTAAAGACTTTTTAAAATCTGTTTCATTGCCTTGGGAGCAGCTCTTCGATTTTGAACTTGTTCTTGGTTCTTGTCCTCACTTCTCCTGATAGTAACCCTGTTTCTTCACCACCTTCTTTGTTCTTGTTTGAAGTTACCACAAATCACAAGAGACCTCTAAACATAACTAAGTACTCTCAAGGAATAAAAAAGGATCACATGTGCTCTTGTTGATCCTTCAAGGAGCTCGTGCTTTTGTAAAAGAAAAGGGTCCTGATAAAATTTGAAAATGAACTTGATCTAGTAGAACATGTATCACAATTGTCTTTTTCAGTAAATGAAGTGGTTCAGTTTTTTCCATATCCTTGTGTGCTCATTTTTTTTCTTTACATATAAAAGCTGCAGCCATAGGATTTGGCTGGCATTCATATGTTGAGCATGAATGCCTGGGATGTACTCCCACTTGCCCATCTCTCTTTCCTTCCATTTCATACTTGATCATGAAAGGAATGGGTGCAGTCAGTTTCTCAGACATACTCTATGAACATAACAACTAATCATGAGTCATTTTTTTGTTCTGCAGCCCTCACATTCAAAACTTGTTTGGAAACTTGAGAAGAGAAAGAAACATGCCGTTACTATAGGATGGCACACATTCTTTAACCCCTTTGTAGAATCCATTGGTATTATTCAGATAAGAAGAGCTTATTTCTGTTAAGTTTTTATGATTAAGGCTGTCAATTCGATTAGATTAATCGATTCAAGTATTAATCGCGATTAAAAAATTAGTCGAAATTAATCGAATTTTAATCGACCCCCAAATCGTCTCCTGAATGGCTCTTTTTCCCCGTATAGTTTGACTGTGTAGTTCATAGTTTTGCCAAACAACCAAAAAGGAATGCTTTATCTAGGGAATGAAATGTAATGATTGGCTTTATAGAAGATAGTTGTTTTCAAACTGCTCACTCTTCCTAAAAAACTACTTTCTATTTTTGAAAAAGGGAACACACAATAACAAAGCTATCGCTTTCATACAATTCCAAAAATGAAGCTTCCTGACCAATTAGTATCCACAAGTGTACTGGTACGCATCCCGTATAACCTTGCAGGCCTCGCGCGTCAGGCGAAGGTACGTGGTAGCAGCGGCCTAGAGAGACTGAAAAGTCACTGGATGCGAATGGAGAAAAGAAAGTCGTATTGAAGGAGTTGCAAGGGAACGCGCAGAAGGAATAAAGGATTTAGACGGACGTGGGACAGGAGAGGCAGGAAAGAGGATAATGTAGAGACTGGGGGGAGAGAGGTGTACGTTTAAGTACGTCGGCGAAGGTCTGTGGGAACCCCGGGAATGAATCGGGAGAGAGGGAAAGCTGGCAACAGACGAGAGAGGAGAAAACGAAAGTGTGAAACCTTCTCATATGCTTTTTCTTCTCTTCTATCCGTGTTTCCCGTGAATCGATAATGAATCTTTAAATCTCCGCGTAATGAAGTGTCACTGTATACCTCCATTTGTGCATCCTTCCGGCATGGCTTGGCTAAATGGCAAAGGGCCTCAGTGCTCTGCTAACGTTTCATGATTCATCTGGCTACGTTGTAATTATTCTCTCGCCGATTGAAATGTGTCACTTGTAGGTTGAACCGGAGTATGTATGGATGGTAACTGCTGTTAGCGACTGCATCACTTTGAGTCACTTCCTGAGGCTCGCCTAGGTGTTTGACATGACACAAGCAGAATCATGCCCAACGCCTTGGACATGATTCATGGAGGAACTAAGGAATCGATTAAAATTCGATTGATACGCCGACCAAATGGCTCACGAGTAATCTATTACATTTTTTAATCGGATCGATAGCCCTAATTATAACTTTTTATGGAAGCCCTTAAAATGTTGTATGTCCACCAGAAGTATCTCTATGCATTTGCAACAGTGAGGGATAAGGTTTGAGAAGTTCCTCAGAGAAGGCAGTGTGGTTCTTTATGTCTTCAGGCACAGCAGCAAAGTGCTTGACTGGGAAACCTCCAGTTTCCATACTCCTGAAGCATCCTGTAGCATATAAGCCAGAGGTTCCAAGTGTGTATAAAGTAGACAAAATTTCGAGAGCATCTCTAGAAACTCCTTAATTAACTGTGCTTAAAAAACTGTGCCTTAAAGAGCTGATCTAGTCAATGTTCTACCAGAGGGGACGCTAAATACAGGGTGTCCATAAAGTCACCATCTATTTTGATGAAAAATGATAAATTTCTTTTAAATTTCAGGTTTTATTGACAGAGGAGTTCTGTAATAGTGGAAAGAGGGACAGATAACTAAATAACACACCATGCTGACAGTGCCAGAGAGGATAAAATTCTATTTCCTGAGCAGTGGATAGGCCAAGGTCATGGGTGCCACAGTCACTGGAACTGACACCAATGGACGTTTTTGTGAGGATTTATCAAGCTGTAGGTTTACAGAAGCAAGGTTCATGACTTGCAGGATTGTACAACTTGAATTTATGCTGCAGTTTAATCCATAACATCTGCAATGTTGCGCAATACATTGAAGGCTACCACCGACCAATGGCAAGAATGCCATGATATGAATGGTGGACATATGGAGATGAACTAGTGCTTCTTTATGAAACAATGCTTAAGTGATTTAAGTTTATCCACTGCTATAATTGAACCTGAAGTGTGAAGGGAGTTTATTTTTTTTTCATAAAAATAGATAGGGACCTTATGGACACCCTGTATTGTGTGCCATTGCTTAGCCCCCTGCTATGTATTTGAGCATGAGTATCTATGTTTGCAGCCAACTTGAAGTCAGCCTAGGTAATGTGAATCTGATGATGGAATTGACTGGATAGTTGACTGTTGACAACTAAGCAGTGATATCATCACAGTCATATTTTACTTGGCTGGCTGAGAAAAAGTATAAATTCAATATCTTGCTTGAAGTTTCTTTTCATTGTATTCTCTTCAGTCCCCTAGGGTTGCAGGCATGAGTATATGATAATATCTATTTGTGCCAGTTGGAACACAGAAATATGTGGAGGGATCATGCAGGTTAGATGTCGAGTCTGCCGGAGTCCCTTGCTTGATTCATCTACGACAAATATCCTCACTGCCCATGGTGAGGCAGCACATGAATTCTCCTCATGCTCCACTCTCATCCTCTATCTTCAAGATGATCATCTCCTACCTGATTGGGTCCTGGAAACTCTGAATCAGGTATTTCAAATCAATCTGCACTACAGCCGTTTTCATTTTTCATTCACATTTCCTTCTCACTGCTGTCTGAATTTCCAGCTACTCTGCTCTGATAATGGGTAGTATTTTGAAATTTACATTTTCTGTGCTATCCTGAGGAATCTCTCCTCTATCGTATTGCTAAATCTCCTCTATTCCTGCTGGATTTGTTGCTTTCCCAAGACTTTACAGCAGATTAAATTTTTATAATTTTGCCTTCTGAGGTTCTCCTTGAAAAAGGTCTGAAAAAAAATAAAAGAAAAGGGAAAATCCCATTGGAATGGTTGGGCCTCCCTGCCCTTTACCATGAATAAATGATATGATTGGTTGATGATTGTCACTCCAATTAGTAGATTTTGTTCATGGTTCCATGTACTCTTTCCCAGGGAGAGTGGAGAAAAGGGAACCTGAAATGCCCCAGGTGTTCTACCCGGATTGGAGGGTTTGATTTCATTACAGGTAATAAGTGCACCTGTGGTACTTATCTCCTACCACCTGTTTATGTGGTCAAATCCAAGGTTGACCTTCAATAGTCCTGATGTGACTTGATTGAGAAACTGCCCTGAGACAAGGAAGGTCATTAGATATGAAAGAAATCTTGTTTCTGTAATTTCATGACCAACAAGTGAAATAAACAATGTGCATCTCATGTACATGCTTTGTGCAGCCTTCTACTGTGCCTTGAAAACAAAACACTTCATACAAAAAAATGTGGGATCAAATTCAGTAATTGGGGCAATCAGGGAATGTATGGTAGGAGATCATGCGGTCCTTCATGTGGGAGAGGGGTTTCACCTCGAAGGGGAGCAAAGCTGTCTGCCAACAGGCTGTATTTTGCATCTGTATGTAACCTCCATGTGCCAGGATCAGGCTCTGGATCCCGGTTTCTTATCCGTGTTACTTTATCAGAGCCCCGTTTTGCCCTTGGCATCATCTCACCTATGAAATTAGTAGAATGGTATGAATACTTGTCAAAGTTAGAATCTGCTGCGTCTTCATTCTCAAGTCGCAATGGAGATACTGTTGCCATTTGCAACAGATGAACAGGCTGTAGTTTAGCAATGGTTGGCCTCACCTCAGTTCTCCCCGACTTGAATAAGTTATTTGGTAAATTAAATATGGAATTCCCCACCCATGGAACATTTCTAATGCTTGATTGCTGGAAGTCGGATAGTTTCCTTACAGGAGGACCGCCCGGAGCAGAATACATCTCTCTCATGTGATGCAATGCAGATCCAAATGAGCCTTTGATGTTGATCTGGTCAGTGCCTTCAAATGTACTGGAGGGGCTCTCTTCAGGTGGAGGTACGGTTTCTTGAGTAGATCCGTAGGATGTGAGGGAGGAGCCTTCATCAGGGGTGGAGTATGTGCCTGTCAGATGAGTTTGTGGAGGTCCATAGGTGTCATCAATGCGTAGGTGGGCTTTTTCATCCTCCGACGTGGAGTGCTGATTTTCTTGAATAGATCCATAGGATGTGAGGGAAGAGCTTTCATCAGGGGTGGAGTATGTGCCTGTCAGATGAGTTTGTGGAGGTCCATAGGTGTCATCGATGTGTAGGTGGGCTTTTTCATCCTCCGACGTGGAGTGCTGATTTTCTTGAATAGATCCATAGGATGTGAGGGAAGAGCTTTCATTAGGGGTGGAGTATGTGCCTGTCAGATGAGTTTGTGGAGGTCCATAGGTGTCATCGATGTGTAGGTGGGCTTTTTCATCCTCCGATGTAGAATACTGATTTTCTTGAATAGATCCGTAGGATGTGAGGGAAGAGCTTTCATCAGGGGTGGAGTATGTGCCTGTCAGATGAGTTTGTGGAGGTCCATAGGTGTCATCGATGTGAATGACAGGTTTTCCATGCCACATCTTAGACTCTTGGGTTTTCAATTGAGGTGTGAAGGATGTAGAGTGAATCATATCAAGTTTGAAGTGGGGGGATCTTTCATTTTTTCCTTCATTAGATATTCTGGATTTCACAATATTTTTTGATCTTGACTTAGCCTCATGAGAGACTGACTGTTCGTACTCATTTTTTTTCGTAAAGCTAGTCCCCATTTCATTCATTTTTCGACTTTCATGTTGTCTTTCATGTTCTTTTGCAGCGTGGAAAAGGGTACCTGCCTCTGCTCCTGAAAGTTTCACTTGGGCTGGAAATTTAAAATCATTAGCTCTGTTGTCATCATCTGTAGAAGTTACCTGCATCTGTAGAGGTGTCTTTCCTGTTGCATATATTTCATGTCTATGTGCAGATGGGATAAGTTTGTGAGACTTGGAATGTCTGGATGCTTGCCATCCCTTGATTGTCACTGGGGGAAGGGATATGGAAGATCTGCCAATACGTGCTGTTTCACGAACCTGCTTCTGTGCTGACCTTGATATTTCTTTTGCCTTCAGCAAAAGGTTGTAGACTTTGAAGTTAATGGGGCGGTTCTTTTCTCCACCCATTCTATGGTTGTTCTTCCCTACTAAGGCTCCTTTCTGGTGGAAGACTTTTGAATTGAAGTTGCTTCCTGTATTGACTCTAATTGGAGCAGGCTCTTGGATAAATAATAGTTGATTGTAGTCATTTTTTTGCGGTAGGCTCTTTCTGATAATTGATGTGTGGATATGCTCTTCAGATAAGAAAGTGCCACCTTTTTCACCCATCAACTTCCATGAATTTCCTAGAAGGAAGAAACATCAAATGGCTTTTTGATGTACTTAGACTTAGTAGAATGTAGAGTCAAATTTGTGAGATGTCAAATACAATTATGAGGTCAACTTTTGGCATTGTTGTTGCTCCTCTTCTTATGACACTTATGTCAAAGTGAAGTGTATTTCCCTCTTCGCAGTGATGAAACTTCTGTAATTAGGAGTTTTTAACCTTCTTCAGATGGTTTATGGTTCAAGCTTGTTTAATTGCTTCCAAAGTCCTGCAGCAAACTAGATGCATTCATTGCTCTCTTCCTTTACTCCGAAAACTGCACGTCTTAGTATAATCCAAGTCTTGCCTGAGTCGAATGTTTCTTGCCAGTAATTGAATTATTTTCTTTTGGAGGAGAGTTGTGACGTTGCCGCCACCACATCGACCTATTTTCTCTACTCCATTTAGATGTGGTTTCTCTGAAGAGAAGTTTTATCCAAGCATCACTCATCACATGAAGAGGGCTGATGGTCATTTTCTGTTATATGTTTTCTCATTTGTTACTCATTGTTTTCATGCATACCCATGAGGTTTTCATGAGGTTAACCCGCTTAGGAATTGCAATCAAATGAATGGAAGCATGTGTTAGTAGAATTCACGGGTTGGATTTAATGGGCCGTGATGCCATTCACCATAGGAGTCCTGTCCCTTTCGCGAGGACCACCGCAGGGTGACGTTGTGATACCGAAACCACTCAAAGCAGTTTCTAATGATTCCAAATCTGGGTCAACCCAGTTTGTGAACCAAGTCCCAATCGAGAGTTCCTCCTCACTGGATCAGGAATCCGTTTCCAATAATATAAAAGTGCCATTAGTCAGTAGTTTAGAATCTTAAAAGGATTCTGAAGGTGCATGCTGGAATCATCAACATGTCCTTTAACGGCAGTGATAGCGAATAAATGTATTCTAGCCTAATTTCCTTTTTTTATATCTTGATTTAGAATTTATTCATTTTCGTGCTTCTATTGCCTAAGCATAATCCTTTGTCTTTTAAACTGCTAAAGGAATCTTTTTGAAAGCTCAGGATAATACGCGAAAAGTCGAATCTTATAGTTTCAACCCCCCCCCCCTTTTTTTTTTAGACATTCTTTAAATGACGCAGATAGGGTCACTACTACTGCCGCAATAGCTCCTACACCTTGCCATGGACATACTATGGTCAGATCCCTCTTTAAGCCTTCTGCCCTCTTAAAATCTAACACAACTATTGAGCTCTTATTTTGCCAGTTCACAGGGTCCAATTTTGCGTCACGATTTGCGAATATCATTTTTCTGGGTCTTTCCGACTCCGAGGTGCGCGACTAAAGTCTAAATTCTGGAAAGGGTTTTTGTTTTCATCTCTTTCATGATTTGGTTCTAGTCTCTTCGCTACAATTTTGAGGAAAGATTGGCAAGGTTTAGACAACTTGGCAACTGAAAAGACACTGATGGAGCTTTCTTCTGCTGAAACCATCATTACAATTCTGAGGCGAGATATAGGACACTGAAAATTTCTTTGACACTGTCTGAAGGATGTGCTGAAGGTCTGCTTCTCCATAACGCCAGCTGGCCTTCAGACGCTTTAGAAGATTCTCAATGACTAAGTTCTTTCCGCGCTGATTTTACTGACTTCTGTGCCATGTTTCTGATGAAGGGAAGTTCTAACAACCATCAGTGCAGAGCAGAATTGCACGCAAAGGCAGGAAAAATACGGATCGCTAGCGCATTCGATTGCTTGCATTGTTGCATCCTCGACTATGCAGCGGCGAGCAGCGGGTAGGTAGCCTCATGGAATTTTGCTGACGTTCATTTCGACTTAAACGCTTTCTCGGGCAATGTCCACACTTGAAAACATGTTCAAAAAAATTATTTCGACACCCTACCGCTAGTGATAATCCAAAACCCTACCTGTACGTATTGCCTAGAAGCTGCCTATCCAACCCAACGCTGTTTTTTTTTAATTATTAAATAGAACTCATTATAAACTGATGAGATCTGCCACATTGCTCATGAAGATTATGAGACCTCTGTTTGGAAAACTCATGAGGTTCTTCCAGCAGGGACGAGCTTGCATGAGGCATAAGACCTCATGAGGTCAACTTCATAAGATCGGTCCAAGATGCCTCGAGGATCATGAGGACATGAAATTAAATCATATTTGTTGAGAGTAATACATTTTTTGACAATGGAATCTTAAATTGTGCATAATTATTGTCACAAAATTGCCTTTATTTGCATTTTTTTAAAAACGAAAAAAAGGAAGAGGGTAAATAGAATTGTTACGCTTCAGAATTGTTACTTTTTTGGTTGATATATTTATTTATTCTTGCGACGTTGACTTTTTTTTTTACACCCTATACTTCTGCCTAGTCTTAAATCTAGTCTTAAAGCGCTGTGGAAGTCCGATGCAAGTCATTCCTTTGGGTGGGACAACTTGAATGCGATCTGTTTTTATGTGATCCTGTTCCACCGTTCCTAAGTTGCCTCGTTGGGAGTGGCATGGAATAGAAAACGGATAGTTGAAAAGGATATTAGTGGGGTTTTTTCTTACAGAGAACTTTTATCGAAAAAAATATATTCCTATTAATTGTAATTCGCTGAAATATTTACGAGTAGATAAGATAATGCTGGAAATCGAACAAAATCAACTAGCCTAGAATTTATTGACTGGTAAAAGTAATTGTCCAGGTGAATTAAAAAAGAACTAAGTTCAACAAATGCAAATGCAACTGCACAGATCAAGCACGCGCAGCAATGTGCCAAGTTGCGCCACCTCTTGAGTAGAAAGAAAAATTCAGTCTGCTGGTTATAAAATTCCCAGCATAACCGCCTCCCGTAGCACTAAAGACTTATAAACTTTAAAAAAAAAAAAACAGACTTTATTTTCATGGCTACCGAGATTTTGGAGAAAACTCGCAGCGTAAGTTTTCTCTTTTATAACGTGTTGGTCTGGACATAAATTCCTACATTCTTGTACACAAAAGTGTATATTCGAATAG